CTGCCACCACGGAGGGGGAAGGACGGCGCAGATCCTGCAGTGAATTGATTACAAACAAATTAAGTACATTTGCATATCTTTTCCCAAACAAGATTCTCTTCTGCAGCCGTCTGGTACATTATTCTAGGAAGAGACATCATAATCATCCACATTTTTAATAAAAATAATTGAAGAGAAATGGAGTCACCCCATCAATCATTAGGCTAAGACAACGGCAACAACTTTTGAGTCTTCCTCTCCTTGAACTGTTTCCATTCCAGCTGATCGTTCTGAGAACTTTACAACTGAGAGGGAATTCCTCTATGGTTTCCCCTACCTCCTCCTTCCCAGTCCCATTTCCTTTTATGCTATGTCTTTTAGACTGGACGGAAAAGTAACGGGACTATCTTATCACTGATCACCACCTGCTGCCTTGAGAGCTCTATTTTTTTTTTTTTTGGCTGAATAAAGTGGAATAAAAATCCTTTAAATAAAGTTGTTATTCGTGGCAATAGACTACAAGCAGAAAACCTTGGAGCTGTGAATGTCTACCTTCACAGCCCCGAACAGCACAGGATCAGTATGTGCAAAGGGCCAACTGCTACTGGATGAATTTGCCTGGATACTAAGGAGCTCGACTGACATCCCTCTCTGGCTCTCCTGAAGAGGGGAGAATTTTAGGGGGGGAAATTTTCAAGGAAATTTGCCTGGTGCCAACTCAGAACTTTCTTTTTTTACTTGCCCAGGTGACTGGAGTAGCCATGAGGCTCTGGCAGTCCTGCTGGTCTTACTTTTTTTGATGTATCTTAGATTTTACCTGGTTTCTTTTAATCACTATTGTGAGCTGCTCTGTGAAGGGCAGCGTGAAACTATACTTTTTTTTTTTTTCCAATTTATATCCTGCCTTTTTCCTACAAAGGGCTCAAGGCAGCTTACATCATTCTCCTCCTCCATCTTATCCCACAACAACAACCCTGTGAGGTAGGTTGGGCTGAGAGTCTGACTGGCCCAAAGTCACCCAGTTGGCTCCAGGGCTGAGCAGGGACTCGAACCCGGATCGTCTGAGTCCCAGTCCCATGCTCTTAACCACTACGCCACACTGGCTCTCTCCACACTTGATGGGGTGATAGCCATTACAGGTAAACAACAAGAAAAGGGGTGTGTGCATGGAGGGGGGGGGTCCTCAGGAGAGAACTACCCACCCCTAGCTGTGCTCACCCCACTCCATACAAGTGCACATTCTGGGCGCCTTCTAGAAGTCATGAGGGCTAGAAAGCGGGTTACTATTAAGGAGCTCCATTTCTTGACCTTTTGAGGGTAGCAAGTACCACTCGCGTTAGAGGTTCACTGGGTTTTGAGATTCCGTCCTGCTTGCACGTGCTACGTGTAGTTAATTCTAAAAGAATGGGTCCAGACTCTTCCCATGTGAACAGAACAGAACAGAGATGGTCCGGGTTCACGTACTCATGGAAAGGGTGTATAGAAAAAGGACTAAATATACTGCTCCTGCCAGGCATGTCAAGTTCCAGGTCACCCAAGTGTATCTGCCCCTGGCTAGCGCCACACCAAAAGCTGCGCCACGCAGCCAACGGCTATTTCTGCTGAGCTCGGCAGGGCTAAGCCCCATACCCACAGGGAGCACCTGCCACCTTCCTCAAGAGGGGCAGAAGCCTCTGCTGAATGTGGGGGGAGCTATGCCGGCGGACAGAAAGGGAGGGCAGGAAACTCCACTGCAATGTGTGAAACCCCAGCACGTGAGGAGCAACAGTGCAAAGGGCAGCGCTGCTCTCCTTTCTATGACTCCCACCCTCTGAATCCCAGGCAAGCTGCCCTCCCTAATCCTCCACTCTTAGCTACAGGAGCTGTGAATCTCTCTGCAGTCCATGAGGCCAGGAGTACAGAGCTCAACTGCGCAGGGCTCTGCAGACAGAAGGCGCTCGGGTATGATGTGGCACACAGTGGGGACCAAGCATGGCCTTCTCATGTGGCACCCCGGCTTGGAAGAACCACCCCGGCAAAAAGAGGGGGCAGTTAAAGCACAGAGTGCTGGACTGGGTGAGGCGGGCAGCGGGGGCCTTTGGACGGACCTTATCAAGCTGTGCTTGTGGGGGAAGCAAGCCTCGCTCCCAGACAGATTTCCACCAGCAAGGCAACGTGTGGAATGGAACCGAGCAGCCTTCCCCTCGCACCCCTCCAAAGACACAGCGCATTTCCATCCTTGCAGAGAGGCGAGCAGAGCTCTGGCGATAATTATAATAAATCTTCTGGTGCTGGGCAGAGCGCGAGGGCCCCGCGCAGGCCGCCCTGCTTCATGATTAAGAGATCCCTGTAATACCTTTACGGTCCCCCACGGGCTGGGCAGAGCGAGACACAGCTAAGCATTGCATCAAACACGTTAAGAATATCTCAATCATTAAGAGGCGACCGGCGGCAGCTCCGAGAGCAATCGATGGGGCAATTAGATTTTATCCACGCCTGCTCCCCTGGCCGCCTCTCTTGCATGTGCTGGCTAGGCAAAAGGCCAAGCTGTACCTGCCTCTTTTGTGTGTGTGTGTGTGTGGGGGGGGCAGTTCTGCCCTCTTTGGAAATACAAGATACGGCACCAGATGCTTGCTTTCTTGCTTCCTGCATTCATAACCAGGTCAGGGAAGACTTTTTTTGGAAAGGGCTGTATTTCTTGGGGATAGGGGAAGGTTAATGATCTGAACAGCATTAGCACTGGCCAGTCCGTGCCTCCAAACGCAAGCACACGGTCCAAAGCCTTGGATGCAGATTCTGTCGATACGGCATTGAGCTGTATTACATTCCAAGAGCAAAGCCCGGCCAGTTCCAGAATTCTTTCTTCCAAGAGCCTAATGACCTTCAGAAGATCCCATGCTGGCAGTCTCTGGGATCTGGCACGCAGACCGACTGCCTCGGAACATGGATGCTTGATTCTGTTACTGTGGATGAGAACTGAAGGGGCTCCCGCCCAATCTGTAATTGTCTAATCCTTGGTTAGCGCGTCTCTTTGGGTTGGGGGTAAGCCTTCTAAATCACAATCCATCAGCACTTCTTGTGCAACATAATCCCTCTGAAGGGCTTTTTCCAGACAGCCCTCTTGAAAATTGAGAATCTCAACCCCACCCCCCCAAGAGGGGTCAAAATTTAGTCCAGGTCTTAAGAAGGCTGTATTTCAGCCAGTCTCACATCTAGCTTGCCCACAGCCAGAGATACTGAATGTCTGCTGTGCTTGTGAAGAAGCTTTTAAGAAGCAAAGTCTGAACATTTGGCATTAAAAGGCTGCCCAAGCATCAAATACAAAGAACTTCTGGCATGCATGCCTCAGGTTGCAACACAAAACACACTTCTTAGAGCGGGAAAAGGCGACCCAGCACCTTCGGGATGTTTTGAGTACACCCCCAGAAGCCCCAACCAAACATGGCCAATGGTTGGGAATTATGGGGCTCAATGGTTGGGAATTATGGGGCTCACGGCCTAGAGTAACTGGACCGTACCAGTACTCAGGTACATACAACAAGGAATGCCAAGAAGTTGACTTCCAAGGATATATGCACAAAATGGCACCGGGAGCAGGGATGTGGGGCAGAGATTGTTTTAAACATCAGCGTTTGATTTTAGTGCAGATAAATTTCCATTTCGTTAGTTCATTATTGAAAAATGAATGCATGCCAATCACAAGAACAGTATTAAGCAGGCCTGGAAGTCTGGAATTAATGCGTCAAAGATCCCGAGGGACTGGGGTTTGGTGGGAGGTGGTGCAAGATGAGCCCTGACTATCCCGCCGCCATTCTAAGGTGAAAAGGCTGGAAATCCCTGCTCGGCCGCGAGGTTCACGAAGCGACCCTGAGCCAGGCACCCCAAGGACAACCTTCCTCCCCAGGCTGTGGTGAAGATAAATGCTGGGACGGCGTGCGCACAATCCTGAGGTTTTGAGAAAGGGCAGGTCCGGTGCCAGCATTTCCGCATTTCCAAGGGCGTTCAGGCAAGATTCCCTCGGTGGACCCCTCCCTCAACGTGCCGACCCTCCCACCACCGTCGCCACCGGCTGCGATCGCGCCTCGTCCTCCTCCTCAGCACTGCCACCGCTGGCTCGCCTGGCGGGCAGAAGGGCGCTGAGCCGTGGCTTCCCCTGCTTTGTCTCCGTGCCGCCAGCACTGTCCGGGCCGGAGGAAGGCGGCAGGAAAGCAAGCAGGTTGCAATGGGGAAGACGTGGCGCCACCCCGAGGGGCTCTTGCTCCCGGCCCACCCGCTGGGTGAGGGGCCTTGGCAGGAGCCCAACCATGCCTAACCCTGAAGCCGGCCCTGAGTAACTTAGAAGCTCTGGACCTTCCCCACCAGGCATCCGCTGGCCTGCCGCTCCCAATCCTTCTCATTTATCTTGATGCGCCTCTCCTCCCCGCTACCCGCCATTCCGAAGCTGCTTGGCTGCGCATGAAAATAAAAAGAGCTGACAACATGAGGGCCATCGAGAGAGAGCGGAGCCGCACTTGTTGATTGATGCACAATCACCCCCTCCCCGGCCCACCCGGCTCCTTCCCGCCAACACTGGGGGGGGGGAAGGAGCAGCGGGAGGTTCGACCTGCCTTTCAATCTCCCCTGCATTCTCCTTCGCTCAGCTGCAAGACAAGCCGGAGCCTGCTCAACTCCTCAAAGGTCAGACCGCGGAAAGCAGAGCAAGCCGCTCAAGCAAGGGGGCCGGCAGGGACCGAGGCGCCGCGCGACAAGCCTCTGATTAATGCAATTACAAACCCAACCGAGGTCTCTTTCTGCTCCGCTGCCCCGCTAAAACCTCCCGGAGGCGGTTCCACTTCTCTGGCGGCGCGCGATTCCAAGCACGCAGGTCAGGGGATCAGACAGCCGGGAGAGGGGCCCAAACAGCCACCATGCTATGGTTCAAGAAAGCCCCCCTCCCCCACCTGGCACTCCTGCCATAGGGATGGCGGGGAAGACACGGGAAAGCTGCGACACAGGTGGGGTGAGCCATCCCCTCCCCTCCCCACCTCGCCCCCGAGACCTACCTACTGCTCCCAAGCCAACATCCAAGGTGCTTCTCTTGAACTCGCAGCGGTTCTGCGTCTCTGGCATAACGAGCTGGCGGCTCTGGTGGAGGCTGGAGATGAAGGAGGTGAGATCGTTGTCCCGGCTGCGAGGGAGAAGAAGAAAGGACTCAGTCACACATATCCAGACTCTCTCCCATGCTTAGTCAGCTTCTCCGGAAGTTCTTTGGTTCCAGTTGTACCACAGACTTGTCCTGTGATATATTAAGGACAACGGTAACCCTTTCCCCCCCTTGTTCGGTTCATCCTTCCTTGTTGTTTCACCTGCAATTTCAACTCTTTTTAACATTACCTTTGAAAAAAAAAAGAAAGGGTTCTTTCCATCCTTCCATGAAGTCAGGAAGTGGGGAGTGAGGGAGACATTTCAACATGCCCACCCGAAAATATGAGTGTTCACCTTTTGAGGACTTCTGAGCGCTTCTTTTGAGGCAAGCTTTCTAAATGCAAGGAGCATCCACCAGCTGAAAAACCTCTGGACAAGGTTTGGATCACTAGCAGGGAACTTTTCACCTGGAGGAGGCAGGAAGGGATGACCTGAGGGCCCTTCTCACACCACCTGCAAACTTTTTTGGCACTCTGTCTGAAGCGAGGCAGGCAGAGGGGCCAACTGTCTGAGCCGGGGGCCTGCAGCTGCCTCGCACCAGGTGCTCTGAGCATCTTTCCATTGTCATCCCCATGCGAAGTGGGAAGCCATTTTCCTAGTCCCTTCCAAAGGGACATCTGGCACCTTGACCAACGAGCTCACCGACCGGGAGCGTCTCCCAAGCTGAGCCAAGTGGCGGCCTGCCCACCTCAAGCACAACAAAGCTAGAAATTCAGAGAAAATCGTTACGACTCAATCAATAACTGGCAGGCTGAACACCAATGGGAAAGATGGGGGGAAGGGACTAGCGCAGCCCTCCCAATCAGGTGCTCCCCAGATGTGCTTGGACTGCAACTCCCATAATCCCCAGCCAGCAGGGTCATGCTGACCATGTGTTTCAGGGTCCGGCACATCTGGAGGGCCGGATTAGGCTGGAAAGGGGCAAAACAGTGAGAGCTGGAAGGGGCTGCAGTTTAGATGGCCGATCCAAAAGGAGAGCAAGAGGCACATGCCCCTTTGGCATCCGTTCTGCTGATACAAATATTTACAAGCGTCGGGAAGCAGAACCAGACAGTGTGTTGAAGACGGCTGGGGTGGCTGCTGGTGATTTGCCCCTGCAGCAAACTGGTTTGGCAGGTTTTATACTGCTCCAAGACTCCACAAAGACCTGCCTCATCAGAGTCAACCGTGGAGCAAAGGGCGGAACGTCACACGTGGAATGAGAGGCAAACATCCGGCAGCTCTGGACCATGATGGAGACTGCGTGTCTCTAGCCATCCTTATCCTGACACACAGACAGGTACAATATATCCGGACAATCATAGTTGCGAACAAAGTTCAGATGTAAGGGAGGGGCCGAGGTTTTCTATGCCGGAGGTTCCAGGATCAACCCACCACATCGAAAGCCAGGGTTGGAGAAATAGCTACCCAGAATGCTGCTGCCGGTCAGTGCTGGGCAAGATGGGCCGTGGTGCAAGGCAGCCTCCTATATTTGCAAAGCTTATTTTCACAGCAAAAGCGTTCCTTTCTATGTGCTCTGCAGAAAGGGCCAGTGCTGCGTCTGGATAACCGCTATCTTAAATCACAAGCACCGGTGCATGGTGTTTACCAGATGTTTGCAAGGAAGTCTGTCTGGCAAGTCTTCAAGTTGCGCTATCTGGTTTTCAACAGCCCCAACCTTCAGCCTAGCCCACCGACACCAGTTCGCCTAATGGCATCGCATCACACGCACACAGCATCCTGTCTGCTTGGTCTATTAGCAACTTCACCTCTTCAGCTTCCCTCTTTGCTGCCAAGATGATCTTCGTGAACAAAAATATAAACAGACCAAATACAAAGAAGTTCTGCTGTGTACATTTGCTGTGTACATTTGAAGTTTGCCCTGCGCTGACAGTTCCAGCAATGCCATTCGGAGGTGAAGGGACACCGATGAATACGTCTCAACAAGACTGCCAGCATTTGCTGGCCCGTGTCCAAAAAAATTGGGGAAAGGATTATCCCCCGCCCTCCCCAAGCTATTCTGAAATTTCATCTGGAAATGCCAGTATTCACACATAAATGTCAACACTCACCAAATTTCAAGCACTCAATGCAACCTGCATGTTGCCTCTCTTATCATAATCACTCCTAGAAGGCGCGCTTCTTTAACGTATGCATTTTTAATTGGATGTGTAATAGCACGCGATCTTCAATGGCACGAGATGCTTGATTTGCCAGTCTTCCATTAAACTGGGATACAACGGCAGGAGTTACCCACAGCTTCTCCTTGGGAGGACCAAACTCTAGCACTGTTCGTCCTTTAGGTAAGAAGCCAAGAACTGCCTCACAGAGTCTGACCGATTCTCTATTTTCCACTTGCAATGAAGCCCAGTCAGATTCTCCCAGATGTTACGACTATGTTTAGCTTTTATGTTTATCGTTTCTGAATAATTTATTAAACTCCGTACAGAGATTAAACAATCTCACAACCTGACATGGGAACTGGCTAAAGGTAAACCTGGACCCACTGGTAGATGGTTGGGCGATTTGCAAAAGATCGGCATAGATTTCTAACTCCCAATTATTTCACAGCAGCAGAAATAAAATACCTCCTCTCCTGCCCGAAACAAGGCGGCAGAAATGCGGAAATTTTGCAGGAATGAGAAGCAGATTTATACATGGTAGGAGGGTGAGTTCTATTTAGTTTTGGCGCTCAAAGGCTCCTGGTCTTAGAATTGTTCGGTTCCAACTGTGATTTGGTGGATCTAAAAAACCAAAAGCAATGCAGATCCTCCAACCTTGCAGCCTTCCCACCACTGCCCAGACAGCATGCAGAAGGGCAGAGCAGGGGACTGGCGAAGAGGAAAGCAAGCATGTTCAAATACGGAAGTTCCCTGATTTCAGCAATGTCGTCTTAGCTGGAAAGGCAGGCCGCTAGCTGACTGCCCCCGTGGCTCGTAAGCATCTTGTTCCAGCAGAGGAGGAGATGTGCAGACCTGGGGGGACCTCTTTTCCAAGCAACCCCGAATGCGGAGGGCTCGCGGCACCTGCCTACAGCAGTCCTGACCCCTTTGAGCTTTCTCTTCTCCCCTCCATGTTCCAAGGAATGCAAGGGCAGGGGGAGGGGCGGGATGGCCACCATAAAGGGTTAAGGCAAAAAGGGTTCCATACTCACACAAACCACCAGCAGCCTAGCTCTGCGTGTTGGCGTGGCACGTTAACATGCCTGCCGGGATGCTGCCTCCGTGGAGACCACCCTACCCTGGGATGGCCAGGACCCCTGGAAGGACACGCTATCTGCCAAAGGCCAAGCTCTGCTCCCTCTTTAAATAGACCCCCCCCCCCGGCACTGCTTCCCCACCACCCAGCTTGGACCAGAAGGGCCGCGAGGGCTCTGGCGAGTCCATCCAGAGTGAGAAACCGGGGGGGGGGGGGGAATGCACACGCTAATCTCTAGCTGGCGCTTGGCTTAATCAGATAAAGTTTATGACAGAAAAGTCATCAGACAGAGGTGCTGTCGATGGGCGTCTGGCCCTGGATTTTCACAGACCCTTTCCTCCCCCACCGGGCCACTCTGCTCTGCTGAACGTGACCTCACTTGGAGCCGCTGCCCGAGTTGCCAGAGGGCTACCTGGTTCATTCACCTGAGTCACTGCTTTAGGAAACCGCTCAGGTGAGGAATGCCACCAGACTGCGCTCCGCTCCGCTCCCCAGTCCGGCCCTTGCCCGCCCCCACCAGCAAAGCCACCACCAGCAATTTGCAGGCTTATCCTAACCTAGATGCCACCTTCGAGGTGCATTATGCAAAATATTTGCAAAGGAGTTTAGGGGATTAATTTGAGGCGATTATCGGTTCCTCTTAATCGTGCAAATCAATATCCCTGGACACTGGGGACAGAGGACAGAGAAAAGCTGCCGTCAGCACAACGGGCAAGACGTGTGTGCGTGTGCAGGCAAGACGGGAACGTCAGGGAACTCAAGAGGCTTGTGACGACCTGCTGCTCAGGCCGCGTGGAAGTTCCCTCTGGCTCTTGCTGCCTTCCTGGCCATGGGCTGCAGGAGCCAAAGGAGCCACGGTCTGAAGTTCTCAGAAGGCGCCGTTCCTTAAACCGGACGAGGGTTGGCTCTGCTTAGTCTGAACTTGACTAGGACCAGTGGTGGGGAAGATGTGGCCCTCCATATGCTGGACTACAATGTCCATTAGCCCTGTCCAACATAGGCAGCGATGAGGGGAAGGGCAAATCTTATGCTGTCTTGGAGGGCACACCGTGGCCTCCTTTATGCACAGAGGAGCTGTTTATACAGAGACATGTGCAGGTGGGGATCATACGGGGGAACATGTGCTCCCCCATGCATGAGGGGGGGCATCAGCCTTTCCCTCGAACACCAGAGGCTGGAGGAGAGGTGGCTGCATGCAGGTGCCAGGGTCAACCCGGGACTGAGAAGGACCCAGGTGCAAAATCCTGAGAGGCCACCGTCAAGTAGGGCCGGTGAGGCGGCTTTGTGGACTGTCGCTCTGCCTTGATAATCGGCAAGCCACTGAGCTCAGAACCACGGCAAATGGAACCCAACGTTACTGTGGGGTAGTGTCCGTGGGTCAGTGGCACAGCACCAGGGGCCAGGCCTGGGTCTCTCTGAGTGGGGCTGAGATGGACCCCCGTGTGACACCTTGGGGAGCGGCCGACTGGCCAGCCAAGGGTCTGGTGCAGCACACGGTCATTTTGAGGGTAAGCCAGCAAGCCTGCACATAATGGAAGGGCCCCCGAGTGACGGTGAGCCTGAAGGGAAAGCAGCCTCTCCCCCAGGCCTCCCCCCCCCACCACCCTCTCCTCCCTCGCTGGCTCCAGGTTTCGGGAGGGTCTTGGGCAAGGCCCCTTCAAACAGCCCCCTCCCGCAGGGTCTCTCTCTCCTCAGGGCTGTAGTCACCAGCTGCAGTTATGGTTCCTTCGCTGCTTTCCCCTCATTGCTACCACTTGCTTGCTTGATGGGCAGAGATGAGATACAGGGGGCCAGCAGCTTGCAGTG